CAAGAGCATCCACACAGCACGGCGGCGCTTCAGCTCAACGGAGGTGCGGAGGTAGAATTCTACACCACGCTACTGAACCTTGGCGGTCCGCTGGTGTGTTCAAATTCGTGTCAGACAACCTGAATGGACCCTGTCTGCGCACGGTTCGAGGAGCACGCGCCAGCTCAGCCTACTTCCGACTTGACTCGGTCCATGAAAATGTACAGCAAGTAAGTGCTTGGAATGATATCTCTTAGTAACCTTACTGTGCAAGGTACAACTTCCACACAATTGCAGGGGTGTCCGTAAAAGCCTAGGGGGGGCCCATAGATGAAGAATCAGTATTGATGCAGGTTTGCAGAGGACAGGCGTTGTCCTCCCTCGTCCACTTCAGGGTGTTTCCGATTTGTAAGAGGAACCTGCGTGAGGGTTATACACAGGGGCTGGAGGTTTTCAGCAAGTACAACACCAGCAAGATACCTATCCTGATATGTGAGGATGCCAGTGCAGCCACGCCACGGCTTGACGTAGCACACCGTGACGGGAGATACTTTGTCTACCAGGGTGTCACCAAACGAAAAATGTAAACGTAAACGAAACGAAACGAGCGTCTCGTTCGTTGAGAGGCTGCTAAACGATGCCGTACTGAAACGCTAAACGATTGCTTACATTCGTTTGGGATGACCGGCGCTAAGCCTTTGACCATGGACATCCTTGTTGACCCGCTCGCCTCGCCTCAAACACGCACGCCAGTTTGCAACTATGCTTCATGCTGTTATCACGGATACGTAATATCTCTTGCACTTGCCGGAACCTCGCTCCGACAGGCCGAGGATGTGTCCCCGAATCCTAATTGCGCTCCCAAAGAACTTATGATGGCACATAATACACTCCAGGTGCTTATTGGCTTTGCTTGCGTCCAAGACCTTCACATACTCGAACTCCGGTCCCAAATAACGCTGATTGCTGGGCCCAGCCCCCGACATGGATACTGCCTAACGCCCTCAGACACCACTGGAAATGATAGAGCTATGTGTAAAAACATCAAAACCATCAAGATATTAACGGTTAGCGTACGTTTCCGTACCATCGTTTAGAGGGTCGTTTAGGGGTCGTTTTGACGAAAATCCGTTCGTTTACGTTTTAAACGCGTTTAAACGACCGGCTATGTTCGTTTGGTGACACCCTGTTGTCTACGGCATGTGTGGTGGTGTGGTGGAGGTCAAGTCGGTTGAGCAGCTGCAGGATGAGCTGCTGAAGCGTGGGCTCGCCAAGTCACTTTACGTGCATGTTATGGTTCCCACGGCGCCCCACGCGGGCTTCTTGCCTGCTCTGTGCACGGCATCTGACAACACCGATGGCTCAGTTGAGCTTTTGCGGAAAATGATGGAGGTGGACGAGGCTTTGCATGGAGCTGGTGGTGTGGCCATGGGCCATTGTGGCGACGGTGCGGCAGCATACAGGTAAAGGGTGTGGCAATCATGCAAAGGGCATACGATCATCCACCACACTTCAAGAAACAGGCTTTGTGGGCTTTTGTGGTGTGCAAGCTTAGGTTCTTGATGGGCCGTTAATGGAGTGCCGCATGTTGCTTAGCTCACGTGTCAACGGTCGGTTCTGGACTACTTCGGAGGAGTTCAGGGACGCCCTGAGCATGCTGACCGGTGCAGACCAAGACCACTTATCCGATGGCGACTGTGTCGCGGTCTTGGAGGCCGACAGGGGACGCACCGTTGTCCACATGCGGGGTTTGTGGAGCGGTTATTGGCACCACAGGGCCACAACAAGGCCAAGCAGGCGCTCCGGCGCATCCGCCGGTTGGATATCAATGACCCGAATGGACGTGTGTGCCTGCGGCTACTCTCTGCAGCAGACAAGGGTACGCTGGCGGGCAAGGTGCTTTGGTGTCATGGGGTTTGCAGCCTGCGTTGGGCTCCATCTAACAATGTTGATTGCCTGCGGTATATTGGCGATTTGCAGCAAGGTGATCCTCTGCCTTGCTAACCTGCCCCAGATTCACGGTCACGGGTTTACTTACAACGGCTTGTATGAAGATAATAAACCCCTCAGAATGAAGGACATTTCGTAGGAGAGATGCTTGCCACGTTCTGTCACAAGCCATGGCGATTTCATGTTCTGTTCCATCTTTTGCCGTTCCTCTTCTGGTCCACCATGCAGACGAGAACGGGCGGTTGAAGTGCCTGATGCCTCACGCCCTTACACATTCAGCCAATGCGCTATGGGAGACCAACAACATCGTGCCGTCGGTATACATGCTGCCAGGGCGAGATGACCCCTCTGGGGGACAGTACATCATGCATGAGGATGATAAGGTATGCTGAAGTATACAGCATATCGCTTCACATAAGTAAGGTGCCGTATATTGCACGCTTTCTCCTGGGCCTCTCCTGGATTTGTTTTGCTCATAAAGAGGACGGGTCAAGGTGCCTGTTGGGTGTCTTGGGTGCAATAGCTGCAGTGCACCATCATGACAGTGAGGCATACTCGGCCTTGGACATACTTGGCTTTGTTTGTATTCCCCCTACACACTCGCCCACCTGCGCAGCCCTGCGGGACTACTGCGAGACACACAAGTTCGTTTTGGACGAGAAGGGTGCTGGTTGGAGAGGGAACCGGGCTGTGCAGGCTCCGATTCAGGCGTCCTTGGCACCGGGGGGGCTCATGTCCACACCTAAACCAGGGCAGCCTCGCCAACGCAAGCTCGAGTTGCGTGTTGACTCTGCTGCCCGTGGAGATGTTGCCGCGGCGCTGGGTCAGCAGACTAAGTCTGGTCGCAAAGTACAGCCTACCCTACCAGGAGGGCACTTGGTGAGGATTGAAACCCTCTCACCTGGGACCAACTCTGCAGAGTCACCCGCAGAGTTG